TTCAGCCAGCCCGGAGGCCAGCTGGAGAGCATGCGGCTGCCCCTCGTCACCGACAAGGTACCAGCGGGGTGCCCGGGGGTCCGATCCGTGTGGCTGCCAGGGGCCGCTGACCCGGGGACCCAGGGGCCGTAGCTGCCCGATGAGCCCAGGGCAGGTGGGGCCTGGTGGAGGGACCGAGGTGGTCCCTGGCCTTGGCGAGGAGGCGGGGAACGTCAGGACTTTGAGGTCCCCCAGAGTCAAGTTTGAGCCGTGATCTGCGTTTCCGGGCTGCGCTTCCTCATCCTACACCCAGGCGGTCGTAAATCTCCCAAAAGCTTGTGGTGAGAGTTAACAGGCGTCACGGACACAGGGCGCCGGCCCAGCTGGAAGAGGTGCTGAGCCGACGGTCGTGGCGCCCACTCTGTCCTTCAGGGCTCTCCTCTCGGGAGCACCCAGCCAGGCCAGGTGGTAGGAGAGCATGGCTCCCCATTACCGGCTCCAACAGTTACTGACTCATGGCCGGTCCCGTCTCGCCGTCTGTCCTTCTCTCCTCTCCCGCCTTCCTGTGTTATCTGGGAGCGAATCGCAGACACCGTGTCCTTTCACCCGTAATCCTTCAGTGTGTACCTCTGAAGGCCGCTTCGCCTCTTGTGACGCCGTTGCTCTTGCCCATCATCGCCGTGACCGCCCTCCTGGCGACACTCCTCCAGGGTGACTGATTGGCCAGTCCCAGCTGTCAGTCTCACAGCCTTGCTGCCCTTGAGCCGCTGGTCACCGCGAGCTGGGTGTGGATGCTGAGGGCGGGACGCCGGGGGCTAAACCCCGCCTTTCAGACAGACCCCCCCTATCAAGCCCTGAGGCATTTGTACAGCACCCGAGGCCTTCATTGCATGGTCTCCCGCCCCTGGGCTGGGGTCGGTGTGCAGTGGGCCGGGATTGATTCATACCCCCCTTTCCACGACTTCCGTCAGCGCAGCCATGAGCGCAGCGGCCTCACAGCGCAGTGGCCGGTGCCTGGAGGGCTTCCGGGGGAGCAGAGCTCCTGCCGAGGGAGAGGCGGGGGCCTCTGGTTCTCGGTGTCACCGTGTGACTAGCCTGGCGGTGTGGGTAGGAGGTGGGGACTTGCTCCGAGGA